GGGAGGGGAGCAATAGGGTTCCCAATATTTTTAAGGCAGAGGTGACAAATGCGTGATCTAGGAGAAACATTCTGCAGGGCAGCAGGAACGAACGGGTGTCTACAGATGTGCTTTAGTTACAGTGCAGCTCTATCAGCAAGGATCCAAGTTGCTAAAAAAAATAATAGAAAGATGGGGTGGCTGGAAAGAGTGCTGCTTGCTTGCTTGCTTTCCACTGTTGTTGCCCCAACCTGGGTTGATTTGCCATGCAAACAAACATCATACACCTAACACCCCCCTCATCCCCTTAGCAATACCGGGACACCCCTTCAGGGTTAGCGAGAGGAGAGCCGAAAACCACAGGGCACGACAGTGGCTGCTGGTAGGAGAAGGGGCGAGCTGAGCTGGCTGCAGGAAGAGGGGGGAGTGAGGGAGCAGCCCCTCTGGGATTCCCCCTCCTGGCCTTGTCCAGCAGGAGAAAAGGGGCTCCAGCAGTCTCTGGGAGGGCTCCAAGAACCCCCCAGGAATGCAGCTGTCTCCCCGTCCAGCAGGTCTGGACTATCACTCCCATCAGTCCCAGCCAGCATGGGCAAAGCTCAGGGGCAATGGACGATGTGGATAAGAAAGTGGCGTTCCCTGCGGATCAGGGAACGAGCCTCGGATCCCAGTCCCTGCAGGCAAGGCGGCAGCCCCCGAACCGCTTCCTCGAAAGCAGCAGCAGCAGCAGCAGCAGCAGCAGGGCTGCCCAGACCTTCCGCTTATGCGTTTTATGCGCTTCTTCCTGCAAGGGATCCAAAGGGGCTCACCTAGCCCGCTCCGCGGTCCGTTCTCACGACAGCCCTGCGAGGTAGGCGAGGCTGAGCGGGAGCAGCCAGTCCAGGGCCACCCAGGGGCTTCGCGGCCGGGGGGCGCCCGCCCAGGCACAGCCCCGGCCCAGCACTGTCCTTTGGCGCTCCGCCACCAGAATGGGGGCAACCCCCGAGGGGGGACACCTGGGGCGCCCCACTTCGTGCCCAGCCCAACGCGACCGCGGGGCCCCGGGCAGGATGCCTCCGCGCGCCGCCGCCCGCCCTGCGGCGCTCCCCGAAGTGCGAGCCGGGGGGCAGCCGGGGGGCGCGGCGCCCGTAGGGGGAGGGTCTGTGCTCCCGCTTCCCGGCCCCTCCCCGAGCGCCCCTCCTGAGGCGAGGCCCCCGGCCTACGGCCCCCGGCCACCGGCCCCGGCTCCCGGCCCCGGCCCAGAGCAGCAGCCCTCACCTGCCCGCCCGTCACCTCGCCCGCCGCGGAGCTTCCTCCTCCCCCGCCGCCATCTTCCCCGCCGCCCGCAGAGCGCGGCCGCGCGCGGGGCATTCTGGGCCTCGTAGTCCGGCCCGGCCCGGCCCGGCCCGGCCCGCCGCGTCCGCCGGGGAGCGCAGTCCGCACGCTGCCGCTGCCGCTGCGGCCAGGACGGGGGTGGGCTGCCCGTGCAGGCGGGCGCCCCGCGGAGCCCCTCCGCGGCCCTGCCCGCGACGCGAGTGGGGCGGCTTCCGAGCGGTGGGGACGGGCGCTCCGAGGAGGCCCCGCAGCGGCCGCGGACGCCGCTTTTGCATCGGGGCGGCGGCGCTTTCCCTCCCCGGTCCCGGCGGGCCAGCGAAGCTTTCCTCCCGCCCGCGGCTGCTTCCTCGGACGGCGACGCTCCTCGCCTGGAAAGACCCCCCACGCCCCGCAGAACAGCGCCCCACCTTTGCACGCCCTGAAATGCCTAGGGCAGGACAAACACGCCTACCAAGAAGTCACCGGTAGCTGAAGTTCTCTGATTTTTTTAAATGAAGAAATCTGGGAGGGGATCCAATGGCAGAAGTACCCCAAGGGACAGTTCCAGATAAACCCCCCTCGACAAGCATCGCAGTGCTGCTGAAATGGCCCCAGGAGGGAAACTCAAAAAGACCTCGCCAAATACCTTCCAGGCGCAACCGGATACGCATTTAAAGGAGAAAGTCCTAGGAGTCCAGGCATGGCTGGGTGGTGGAGGACCGAGCCTTTGAATATTAAACCACCATACGGAACACACATTTACCTGTCTGCCCAGTACAGAACAGAAAAGGGGTCGCCCTAACTCCTTTGGGGGAGAGTTCCACAGATGTGGATTTAATGTGCTTAAATCATGTGCCATCCCTGGCTAGAGCAAGCCGAAGGCATGGAGGGAGGGGGTTGATGCAGGCTTACAGCCCTCACAGAGCTCCTGGGCAGCAGCACAGTGGAGCGCCACTCTGGCATGAGGCTGCCAGAGCTTGAGAGGAGCCGCATCCCGTGGCGGAGCCGCAGCGTTGCAAAGGGACAGAGGCCCTGTGTTCCCCGGGCAGGCTGAGTGACAAGGCCTACTCTGGGCCCCGGGAGCCGTGGCCACCTCAGGGCCAACATACAGGGCCGCCCGCGGAGAACCGTTGGGCCAACAGCTGTGGCCAGCAGGTGCCCTGTTTCAAGCAGGAGGCGGGGGACGTTCCTCTGGATGGCTGTGCGGAGCCCGCCAAAACCACGCCACTGCTTTGCAAACCGTCGGCCAAATCCATTCAGTTGTCCCCCTCTGTTGTCAGTGTCCAGTTTTGTATACCAGAACTCGCTTCCACTTGAACGAATTCACATTAACTCCAGTGCACGATTGTGTGAATGTGCTAATGCAGGTGCGGTGTGATGGTTAGTGTGCTGCACTGGGGACGTGGGGGGGGGTCTGTGTTTTGACCCCCACGTGGCTGTGAAGCTCACTGGGTGACTTTGGGCCAGTCACTCCCTCTCAGCGTCCCCTGCCCCACAGGGCTGTTGTGAGAATGAAATGGGGTGGGGGAGCTTTATGCAAACTGCTCTGGCGTCTTCTGCCACTTCAGTCCCTCACTGAAGACTCCGTGCGAACGTGGCGATCATGGGATATCGGGCGGCACTTCTCTCACGGATCAAGAACAAATTGCAGAGAGAGGGAATAAATGGTGATTTCTCCCAAAGGAGGGATGTAAGCCGTGGGCCCAAAAGGACCAGTGTTTTTCAACCTGTTCAGCAGTGGCCTGAAATTCGGAGTGAGCCGTGAAGTGGCCAAGTTTGCTGATGACCCCAAATTAGGGTGGCCAAGGGACGGCGAAAACCAAAAGGGCCTGTGAGGCGCTCCAGAGGCATCTCTGCAAAACTGCGGGGAGGAGCTTCAACATGGCAGATGTAATCCAGTGTAGACAAATGCACACTGGGGCCAAAAACCAGCTTCACGGATACGCTGACGGGGTCTGTGCTAGCAGTGGCTGAGCAAGGAAGGGGATTTGTGGGGAAGTGGGGCGGAGAGCTGGGTGAAAGTATCAACCCAGCGCCGTGAAAAAGGCAAACTCTGCGTCAGGCACAATTGGGGAACGAATTGAAAGCAAAAATGCCTGAATCGTGTTCCCCTCTGCAAATATTTGGTGTGGCAGCACTTAGAATATTGCGCACAGTTCTGGCTGACGTGCCTGGAAGGGGGCGTGGGAAAATGTGCAGGGAACAGGTAAAAGCAATCAAAGGATCGGAGCAGCTCCCCCATGAAGCAGATTTTCAGTAGCTTAGAGGACTGTTTAGCTCAGGAAAAGGGTGAGGGAGGGCAGACTCTGCAGAAGTGCTCAGAATTATGCCCAGGGTGGAGAAAGGGGCAGGGAGACACGCTTCTTCTATAATGCCAGAACCCATGAAGGAGTCATCCCGTGAAGCTGATCGATGGGAGATTCGGGGCTGAGAAAAGGAAGGGCTTCTTCATACACCGCTGTGGTGGCAGCTGCCAATTCAGATGGCTTTCAGAGTGAATTGGGCAAATTCCTGGAGGAGGAGGCCACCCATCCGTGGCTACTAGCCTTGCTGGCCGTTAACAGAGGCGGCCCGCCTGCGTGCCCCGTCGCTGAGGGGCTGAGCAGGGGGTGGTCCTGCACCCATCCTGCTAGGGCGATCCTGTGGGCAGCTGCTTGCCACAGTGGGACGCGAGGGCTGGCCTGGCTGGGCGCCTGGTCTGACCCAGCGGGGCTGTTCTTATCCTTTCCCTGTACATGTCTCATACGCTCACACGTGCACACCTGTGCGCACACCTGTGCTGCAAGCAAGACGGAAGGCCCCCCAGCTCTCTGGAGGAGGCTCTGTGTGGTTACGAGGGTAGCCAGCCCACGCTGGCTTCGGCAAAGAGCAGGCTGCCCCAGGGACATCAGAAAGGCCGTGCTGGCTTTCTTGCAGACGGACTGGGCCTCCGATGCCCCTGCGCTTACGCCTTCCCTGCTCTGCTCCAGATTTCGGCCTTCGGTAGCTTCTGCATAGCAGTGGGAGAGGCTGTGTCGGTGGTCAGATAACGGAGTCGGGGCTCATGAGACACGGGGGACCTTGCGGGTGTTGGGGGGACCATGCGCACTGCCTCTCCAGGGAGCCCTTCCTTCTCATGAGGTGGCCAAAGGATTTGAGTTTCATCTTCAGGATCTGGCCTTCTAAGAGCAGCCAGGGTTGGTCTCCTCTAGGACTGACCGGTTGGATCGCCTTGCGGCCCAAGGGAGTCACAGGAGCTTCTCCAGCAATATCAAGAAATATGGCACGTTAAAAACAGAGTTAACAAGAAGGCTTTAAGAAGTTGTGCGTGTGTGTTTTGTGGATTCAGCCAGTTCCAGAGAGTGGAAACAGCGGACAGTGGCCACGAGATGGCGATCTTGCTCCCTCGTAGCTCCCGCTGCCGGTGCGCTGTGTCTCCCTGCGGGCAGCCGGTTTCTGGTGGCGGAGTATTCTGCTGCCGCAGCCCCTTTGGCGGGGGGCTCACGCCTCCGGGCTGGTGTGGGGGTCGCACCTGTGCTGTCAAAGGGAATTCCGACAAATCTTGGCTTTTCACGCACCGGCCTTGCAAGCCCAACCAAAGCAAAAGTCACTTGTGCAAAACCCTCCGAGAGGTTTGGATGCCGCCCCACGGCGAGTGGCTGTCTGGGCGGGGCTAGATCCGACTGCCCCGGCGCGGGTCCTCGTTCAGACGACGCAATGTGGAAAGGACCTGGGGCAGGGGCCTCCATGGCCAGGCAGGACTGTGGCCTGCCTGAGCCACGGCAGCTTCTCCACCGTTTTAGGGTCACACCAGGGCAAAAGCCAGCCCAGCACTTCTGTTTGGGGTGCAGTGCCGGTACGGAACTGCCCCCTGTCCTGCTTCTCTGCCCCACCAACTCGGTGGGGAGAGATGGACAGATGTGGCTTCTTGCAATAGATGGACTCAGCTTTCCTAACCAGGATTGTCCCTTCTGGCCTTCCTCAAGCCGGTGCCCACCAGACTGAACTCCCACAATTCCCAGACAGGCATGGGCTACTCTGGAGTTGCGCCCCAACACATCTGTGCTTGGGGAAGGCCGGTCTGTCCCAGGGGGCTGCACTCCGCGTGTCCTTTACCTCCCCTATTCACATAACCGGTTTCACCAGGACCATGTGCTTGCGGGGCGTGTGTGTTGGCCACTGAGCGAAGGCCCCCTCACTGGGACCCCGGGCTTGATTTAACGTCCATTCTTGTCCAGGACAGCCTTGTTCTGATTCGGAGCAAGGCCAGCCCCTCAACCACACCTGGCATCCCGCCTTGCAGCCATCCCCTTTCCAAAAGTGGTGGTCCTCGGCACCCCTCCCAGTGCCCCATAGTGGCTCAAGAGGCTGCGCATGATCCTGCTGGCAACGTGGCCACAGAGGGCATCATGGCCTGAACGGGAAGTCCCCTGTGGCATCGGGCAAAGGGCAAAGGTCACTTGGGGTCCTTCCTGCCAGGCTCCTTGCAGATGAGCCGCCCGGGCCAGGAAAAGCTGGTGCACGGAGGAAGGGCGTGTGAAGAGGAGGAGGCGGCTTGAGAAAGGACAAGCGAGAGGATGCATTTATCAAGCCCAACTGCATGTGCCAGCTTTCAGTCCAAGGGTCTCCATGGCAACCCGGAAGGAGTGACAAGCCATAGACCAATGCAGTGCAAAGCAACGGGTGCTGGATGGAAAGTGCAGTGTCTGCACAGGCAGCAGCAACTAGCTCTAAATTGGGCAAGCAAGATGGCGCACAGCAAGGGCCCAAATGATGCTAATGGGTGCCATCCCAGAGAAGCCCCCGTCCTGAGAAGCTGCCCTGTGCCAGTTGGCCTGCTTGTCCACTCGGCCCAGTTGGCTCCACGGAAGCAGCAGGCCAGGGCGTCAAGCTGAGGGCAACCTTTCCTGGTGCTCGCTCGCTCGCTGGCGGTGCAGCCTCTCCCTCGACCGCAGGCACGGCCCAAGTGGAACTTGAACTCACGGCCACCTCCCTGGAGGCTGCTGTCCTTCGGGCCACTGGGTCATTCACCCGGGTTGCCACTCCC